TTTAAGTGTGGCTTTTGAGGTGTTATTGGGGCACTTGTACAAAAACTATATAGCTTTAGCCCTTTTTGAGATGTCACGTAGATTTGTATGAATTCAAGAGATTTTGTAATGTAGATGAGGTAACAAAGTCCAATTGAATGTGGCGCCAATTACTACTATGTAAATCCCAAGACGAGAGTGTGGAAATTGTGAAAAATATATTTTGTTTTTATTTTCAATCAATCATAGTATTTTATACTCCTTTCTATTTTTATTATTTGTCGTTTTGAGAAGCAATACGTTAATTAAACACTAAATATGAACAAAATAGACAAAACGATATTCATTTGATCAATGATCAATTAAGTTAGAATGATAAATAATAAAAATAAGAGGAAGTAGTATTTTTTATTAATTGTGAATTTCATAGGAATTTCCGAGATACAAAAATAAAAAATAAAAACCTTTTTAAAATGTTCTTTTTTTTCAAAATTACAACCGGCCATGACAAAAATCATCTGATCTGGCGGAGCGTTACTGGTAACTGCTAATATATATGTTAGTGGGCATTTTTGTCATTTTATAGCTGTGAGACATTTCTTATTTTTCATTTTTTATTCAAATCCTAATAAATCCCATTATCCCGTAGCTTGGGGGAGACGAACACGTCATTAACCCCACCCGTTTAGGCGGCGTTTAGACTGTTCATAGTACAATTGTTCAAAGTGTCTATCTTGACCTTATAAAGTGTTCGGTTTTTTTTTTTTTTTTGCAAATCAGTACATCTGGTACAATTCAAGAGAGATTAGTGCTCCGAACATAACCAAATAAAGGAGATAAAAAAACCGGGAGACAATCCTTCCAAAAAGAAGGTCCGTTCAATGACATTGCCCTACTAGCTAGACAATGGGCAATCGAATTCATTATTTCTACTAATATAGCAACACGACCCACATCCTAAAAGAAACAAAAGAGATAATATGTCAGTAAAAATATGATACAAAGGGTCGGTTGTCGACATATCTAATAAACCACAAACAACCGCAAGGGCGTCTATCTTGGCATATTGAATCGAAAATCCCGCATCAAGAGCAAAACGGAGACCGAATCTAAGGGCCAGGGCTTCGGCTGTAAGAGATGAAAAGGAGCCCGATATATTAGTAATAAAAGCAGCCCAACACACTCCGTCCGAGTCGCCTATCCATCCTCCTAGCCCGATCCTCAAGTCATGGATTGCTGCGTCGCAGAATAAGTGAGGCTGTTATTGCATTTTCCTGGGCCAGACCACCTGTCGATTGATGGCTGGTGCAAAGAACGGTCTGTCATGATTCGCCCCGATTGAGCTTTGTCTGCTTCTTCTGGCCATGCATTCGCAATTGTCCATACTTGCTCAACCGTTCTATCTTTCAATCCGTGATTAATGCGATTTCATTCATGCCAAATAAGCCACAAAAATGAGCAAATAATGGAAATTCATCCCCACGATTACTGCCCATAATCTCGCAGAAAATAAACGCAAAATTGATTGGATATAAACCTAGTAAAAAATCAATTAAAATTTAAATTTAACTTAATTTTAATCAAATTTATTATAATCATTATTATCACTATAATTAAATAATATCAACAAACGGTTTTTACACATCACATCAACTTTAATTCACAATTCATTCATTCACATAGTTTTAACTAACAATCACTTCCAATCATTTTTCTTATATTTTAATCAAATCAACTTTTATTATTTTATTTTAAATATTATTTCAATTTTAAATTTAAATTCACACTAACAACTAACCATACCACATTTTTCAGAATTAATTATAATTAAAAAAACCAATCAAAAACTAATATCCAATCACAACCTATCAAACCTACACAAACTATTTGGGATTTCATTCAAAATCGAGCCGAATAACTCAACTTTTATAATAAATGCGCCGGCTAAGCTCAACTTGTAAAATAAACTAGACAAAGTATTGGCTCGAGCTCGAGTCAGTTCGTTCATTATATTTAAAATTTTAAAATTCATAAAAAGAAAATGAGTGTTTTATACAAGCTTGGCTATAGACTCATCTAACAAACGACCTCAATTAACTATTTGAGTTCAACTTGAGATTAAACTTTCACGAGTCGAATCGAATGTGTTTGTGAACCAATGCATTTCTATTTACCCTATTTTATTCCATACCATTATTTTTTAGGTTAATTAATCCACCAAAATGAATTAATAATAATAATAAATAGAGTGAAGTTGGTAAGTTCCAGAACTGCTAACGGCGTCAAAATATCTGTTAATTTTGTTTATTAAAGTAGTACATGTGGGCCCACTCTCCAACTTCTTCATATACGTGCTTTCACTTTCCCTTTCATCACCACTCCTCCGTACAAAAAATCCTCTGCAAATTCACAGCGAGAGAGAGAGAGCAAGAAAACCCCCAAATCGCAACATTTGCAGACAAAATCTTCAAACGTACGAGCTCCGATCATGGAAAATGATCACATTGAAATGTATTCTGGTTAGCATTGCTTGTGCCATCCTCTGGTAAGTATTCAAGATTTTTTTTTTTTTTTTCTTACTTTTATATGATCTCGAAATTCGCTATAATGCTTGATGTAAGAACCTTTACCTCCGGCGGATACTGATTATTTATTATATATATAAGTTTTCGATCATGCTGTATGATGTATCTTGAGGAACAAGGTTCGATGAATAGAACTGTGTTCAGAGATTTGAAGCATCAAATGAAATTTGTTGTGGCGTATGATCGGGTTCTGTGTTTTTTGGGAATTCATGTCTACATTTTGTTTTTAATTTGATTTTTGAATGGGTAATGTGCTTGTAACAAAATCTAGGGATTTGATATAGTGATGATGGTTTTTTATTTTTATTCTTCATTCTATTTTTTAGCCATTTAAGAATATCTGTAATCAGTTTCTTTGATCTGTTTTGTTCACTGGTCAGCTGAAGGTTTTTTTTTTTTTCATGATATTCGTACATTATTGTTAGTGTTGACACCTTTATGAAATACTTGGTGTGCAGAGAGAAGAGCTTTAAACTTCGAAGCTGCAATGTCTGTTGCCAGTGTAGCTCTTAGTCCTGTTTATGACGACTACTGGAACTTCCCGGGCCGTGTTTCGGGTCAACACGGCCCATGGTCAAATGATTCGATTTTAATCTACTTAACAGTAGGTGGCTCAGTGATTCCCATGCGAGTCCTCGAGTCTGACTCCATTTCTTCAGTTAAACTCCGTATCCAGAAGTGCAAAGGCTTTTTTGCCAAAAAGCAAAAACTCGTTTTTGAAGGTAAAGAATTGGCTAGAAACAGTTCTCGTGTTCGGGACTATGGCGTGGCTGATGGTAAAGTATTGCATCTCGTCCTGAGATTTTCTGATCTGCAATCAATCACCGTCCGAACAGTTTGCGGCAAGGAATTCGAGTTTCAAGTCCAGAGAAAAAGTAATGTCGGGCACGTGAAACGACAGATTGCTGAGAAGGGTGATGACTTTTTCAACCTTAAAGATCAAGAACTGTTCTGTGATGGTGAGGAGCTTGATGATCAGAGGATCATAGACGATTTGTGCAGGAGCAACGATGCAGTTATTCATTTCCTCGTTCGTAAATCGGCAAAACTCCGAGCCGTGCCCATCGAGAAAGATTTTGAGGTGTCGATAATTGCATTAGATGCAGAAAACGAGGCAGACATTAAAACTTGGGCTGGGAAAGGCCCAATTATTGCTGTTCCTCGGCGAAAGGATTTTCTGCTCGAGCCGCTGAACATCAACCCGAAGGTCATTATGTCTCCGGTGCTTAAGAAACTAATCGACGACACTTCTCGCGGGCTGGAAATGGGCTACCGGCCCGTTAGGTCGTCCGAGGGCTCTGGAGGTGCTTATTTCATGCAAGACTCGTCCGGTCAGAACTATGTTTCGGTTTTCAAGCCGATTGACGAGGAGCCAATGGCTGTAAATAATCCACGTGGACTGCCTTTGTCCACCGATGGTGAGGGATTGAAGAGAGGAACACGTGTTGGGGAAGGGGCAATACGGGAAGTTGCTGCTTATATTCTTGATTACTCGTTTGGGGACGAGAGATGTTTTTCAGGGGTCCCACCCACGGTAATTGTGAAATGCCAGCATGAAGGATTTTACTACTCGGAAGGTTTTAACGGTGGCAGGTCGGGTAAGTTTGGTTCGCTTCAGATGTTTGTGAAGAACTGCGGTAGCTGTGAGGATGTGGGCCCACGTGATTTCCCTGTGTCTGAGGTGCACAAGATATGTGTGCTGGATATAAGGTTGGCAAATGCGGATAGGCATGCGGGGAATATTCTGATTTGTAAGGATGGCGAGGATGGTCGGATGAATCTTATCCCTATTGATCATGGTTACTGCCTGCCTGAGAATGTAAGTATATTTATCTCGTTTTTTGGAGTATCTTTAGTTTTATTTTCTGTTTGAGTGGTACTTGATGGTATGTTTCCGTAAGGTGTATAAGCATGTTTTTAACTAGAACTCGAAAACGATAGTTCTTTGATCACTTCTTAGATTTGGTGCCGATTAGATTTTTTTTACGCTAATTATTTCCCTGGTAGTGCTTTGGTTGGTCCATTGGTAATGGGGGGAATTAGATGTTAAATACTTCCTGCACAATCGCTTCTTTTTATGGTTAGCCATTACCATTAATCATGTATGATACTGTGTTATCATTATTCATGTAAAAGGTAGTTTTTCGGATAGAACATCTTATCCATTTTTACCTGAAAAATCCTAGGTGCCAGGTGTTAATTGACCTTTTCGTTATTGAGCTGCATTGTTGTGCACATTATCAAGTGAGCTTCTTTAAGCTCACTTGCTGTGTACTTGTAATTCAGAAAAATTACTGGATCCGTTTTGTATATAATAAGCCAAAACCACTCGGTAGTTCGTTTATGTTCCCCTATTTTCGTTTATTGACCGCAAAACCGGCGAGACATCACCACATGGCTCGACCATATGTTGTATGAGATTTTTTTTTCTTCTTCATCTTTTTCATCACACCATTCTCAATCCTGCAGTTTGAAGACTGCACGTTCGAGTGGCTCTACTGGCCACAGTCCCGGAAGCCTTTCTCCCCAGACGAGGTCTCCTACATAAACTCCCTAGATGCTGAAAAAGACATCCAACTCCTCAAGTTCCACGGATGGAACATTCCGGAAGAATGCGAGCGCGTTCTACGGATTTCCACCATGCTTCTGAAGAAAGGTGCGAGTAGAGGGCTCACACCCTACGAAATCGGGAGCATCATGTGCCGGGAGACCGTGAAGAAAGAATCCATAATTGAGAAAATTGTTAAAGAGGCAGAGGAATCTGTTTTACCTGGTACAGGTGAATCAGCTTTTCTCGAGTCTATTTCAACCGTCATGGATCGTTACCTAAACTGCCTTTCGGGTTAAGTAGTACTAAAAAACCCAGAAAAAAAATAACAAAAAAAAAAGAAATACAGAAGTTTCGACGTGATATATAAAATACGTGTGAAATATGCTATGGACTCGTGTCAAGACATGTGGTTTGCCGTTTGCGATATGTGTTCAGTGTGTGTGTGGCTGAGTATATAGGTGAAATTAGTAATGCTTTTATGCTTTGGCTATGTGTATTTGGTTTGGAACTGTTCTGTCTGATGATGCTTGGGTTTTTTTTATTGTGGCCTTCAGACATGAAATTGCAGCAGTATTATCTATTATGTCTGCAAATAATTTGCTTCCTGGAAAATTGGCTGGGAATGTATGTGTTTTAACATATCCGCTTGTGCTAAACATGAGATTTGATCTGGATGAGATGTGGAAAATGGACAATGAAAAAGCAAAATTAAATGAGATTTCAATCAAATGTATGAATGTTAAAACATATGGCGATGGATTTTGCTGTTCGTATTGTGTTCGTGTTTTAGTGTTCGTGTTTTACTACTTTCGTGTTATTTAAATTATTTTATGACATTAAATCCAGATATAACTAAATTTTGTATCTTTTGCTTGTTGCGTCGTGTTTTGTATCTCGTTGTGTCGTGTTCATCGGGTTATTTGTCTCTGTTTTTTGAATCGTGTCATGTTCGTATTTCTTGTTATATTAGTAATTGTCACCTCTGATAAAAATGCCATTTTATATTTTATTTAATTTAATTTTTTTTTCCCTTGAGTATGGACCACATTACCTTCTCCCATTTTTTTCTCCAAACCTAATTGCCATCTTAATATACCATATTGACTTGTTCAAATGGCTTGCCACCTTTATACTAATCATTGTATACTAAAGGCTGGTTCAATTATGGCATCACTGTGGACCCTCCTGATGGGTTAGGGCCATGACTCGATCATCATGGGGTGTCCTACCCCGACGTGTTCTAGTCTAGTCTATTTCTTCTAGGCCGCTGGCCTCTTTTTTTGCACCAAAAAAAAAATAAAAATAAAATTATGGCATCAATTATTATTGTGTGTGGGGAGATCTGAATTTGGATGAAGATCAAAGGATTGAATACACAACCACTTTATGTCTGATAGCCGATGATGTTGCACTTTATGTCTGATAGCCGATGAAGATCAAAGGATTGAATACACAACCACTTCAATAACAGCTCAATTATGTCTGAATTCCCAAATTCATTTACATATTATTATGTGATCTTTTTTTAAATCACCACATTTATGATAGCCTACAACAAAAACTGAGAAGGTGTTAATAGGCCAGGGCCATCAAAAGTTTCACATGGTTAGTCTCATGATTCATAGCATGATGAATGTATCTTGTGGGTCACATAATTAGTTAGGTCTCTCAAGCATTTATTATTATCACAACCAAATAAGAAATTCGGATCTATTTATGTATTTATTTAATTTTTCCACCGACAGATTTCTAATTGACCTCAGAAGTCAATAAGTCAACAGTATATCGTACACGTACATTGCACTTTCCACTGTTCCACCCGACTTGTTGCTATATCACTTTTTTATTGATAATCTAATAATTAATCACTTGAGTCACACTACATGACTATTAAATTTTTACATTATATGTAAAAATAAATCAAACAAATAACATAAAAGGTATATTAACCATGACTATATATAATATATACCTTATAATGAAATTACTTTAGACACATTTTTTCAACCATAAAACAAGTCAATTCGCTATCCCCAACCCGCCTTGGTATGCAACCCCGGTTGAGGGGAGCCACGACGAGCCCGATAGAAACTGGCCCACCGTGAACTTATTGGCCTCCGCCGCGGCCGTGATCACGTGATAGCCCGTCCAGTTCACGCGTTGCCCGATTGCCCCTCCCGGACCATAATTCTTGTACTCCCCATAGTACAATGTGTCGAGCGCGAACGTCTGATTCCACTCGAGCCACCCTCTCGGATGAATATGGTCACCCATGTTCGTCATCATGTAGACTGTACGGGAGTACAACTTCCACGGTCGGCCCAAGTAGGTCGGGTAGGCGCTCTTGTTGGCCCTGAGGTCGGGCTCGGCTACAAGGGAGCAGTTGTGGATCGAGATGCCCGTGTTCTGATTCGGGTCTTTGCGGTTCTGGGCCGTGATGGTGTTCTTCTGAAGTGGCAGTGGCTTTCGGGCGTGGATGTTGCAGCTCTGGAAAACGACGGCTGCATTGCCGAATATGAAGTCAACTGTGCCGTAAATGTCGCACTCACGGTAGAACTGTCTCTGGGAGTGGACGTACAGTGTGTCCTGATAGCCGATGATGTTGCACTGGTAGACCACGGCATGGTCAGAACCGACCCGCAGAGCTACTGCCTGGTGATTTCGTGCCCCGGCCCAATTCTCGAACGTGATGCCCTTCAAGATGAGACCGTTGCCGGTCGCAGCTGTAACACGAGTCATGTGTGAGTCATATAGTACGGTCAAATGATTTGCCCATACCAAATACGAACTAAGCTACTTCAACATGAAATGTTGACCATGACAAAATCTGATGTGTCAAGTGAGGTGTTGTGTAAAGTAATATGATTATTGTGACACGTGTTATTATGTCAAATTTTATATATATATATAGCATCTCTTATATCGTTGACTCATCACCAAATATCAACTAAAAGATACCAAGGGTGGGTATACAATCAACAAATATATTGAAAATGTAATGTGGGTCCTTTGTAATTGGACTAAAACTTGTGGATAATTTTATGCAAACACCTCAAGAAAACATGAAAAACTAGTTGCAACTTGCCCCATTTGTAGTTTGTTGGTTAGGGCTTTTTCTTACACTATGTCATAACCCATGGCCCACCAATACTGTCTGATAGACACTGCCACTAATTAAAATTGATGGGCAAAAGTGACTATTGGGGTATATATATATATATATTCAGAAATAATAAACTTAGTGCAGTGAAAGATTGAGAAGAAACAAAATACTTGGAACCTTTTTCAGTTTGTGTGTGTGCAAAGGGATGAAGACAACTGAACTTCAATTACAGTACAAAATTGCACAATGGCTATATATATATAATCCACTATATAACTTGGGAAAATTATTTAAGGCAATTCACTAAAATAATCAATCAAAACCTAAATAATAATACTCCCTCCTATTTTTTATAAATCTCATTCTAGTTTTATGAACTATTTGCTAAATAAATATCGTTTTAGCTCTATAATTCGGGATTAGGTTTATCGTTGGATGAACTGCATTGCTGATATTGACCCCAAAAAAAAGACGATCATTGTCGGTATAATGGTAGATGCGCGGGACCACGTTACTATTATTTCTTTTTCTGTTCTTTTGTACATATTTTTCCATTATTACCCTCATTTAACTAATAAATACATTACGTCTTTTCATATTCACTCTTCACTTTTTCTCAAAACATTCATCTTTATCTTCATTAAATAAGGTTATTATTGAGAAAAAAAAATATTCTTAATTAGTGTTCAACTTCTCAAAACGACAAATATTAAAAATAGGAGGTAGTACTAGTTTGACTTTACCGAGATTCGTTAGGCTCCTATCCTATTTATTAGAAAATCATTTCATTAATTTGTCGTTAGTTGTCCAAACAAGACCAACAAAGCCACACCCAACTCTCTATACACTGCACTCACATATCTATGAACTTTTCAATGTATATTAAGGGAATTTATTGATTCATGTAAAATAACTTCAAATTACAATGCAATCACTAATAAATAGAGTTGAATTTTCAAATATATATATATATATATATTATATTCATTATTCTTCACATTTTATAATAATATGAAAATTGACTTTTTAGTTATAATATAAAGCCACGTGCACGTTGAGACCAACATCTACATGCAAAAGCCAAAATTGCCTGTTGTTTTTTACTTTTCAGCAAACGAATCATAAAATATATTTTTTTAAAAAAATAAATATAAAGATCATAAATAATTTTGTTTTTTTTTTAAAAAAAAAAAAATTGGGTGAAAAGGTTAGGTTAGGAAAAGCAATATGGAAAAGGGCAAATAAAGTGCAGAAAAGGTCAAAGGAAATTACCAAATGACGCGGTATGGAACGTGGTCATGTTATCGTAGACGCTCTTCCCACCTGAAATGACCGTCTTGCCCTTCCCATCTCCAATGAACATTATGTTGGTCTTTTTTCTCCCTACCTTCAGTATTTTCTCCTCATACCTATGCCCATTGTAAAGTGCTATTTTTTTATTATGTCGAAAAAAAAAAATTCAAATGTTTTTATAATTTATATGAGTTCGAATTCGATTTATAATAAATGAGTCAAAATGAAGCATATTAAATGTAATCTAAAAGCAGCGGTTAATTAAAATCATTATGAAATAATGTGCATAAATTAAAGTGAAAAAATCATTAGAAACCTATAAAGCAGGAAACGGCGACACGTGGACGTGCAATTGAGATAATGTGATAAACATGAATCGAGGCCATTAATGTCATTTAACAATTACGTAGCAGCTAAGAAGCAATTAAAAGCCAAACCGAACCGCCAATTAAAATCTCTATTTCCGTTTTTTTTTTTTCTCGACCTCACGTCACGACGGAAAAAATTACCTTCCAGTCCTCACGTAGATAATAAACCGCCGGTTGCTGTTCTCCGGCGCCAGATTGATCGCCTCCTCCACTGTCCGGCAAGTCCCGTTGCCGTCCTTCGACACGACCACGTCGGCCCTGATCGCCGCCGGCGGCGCGTCCAGCAGTCTCCTGTCTCGCCGGGACACCCACGACGGGAACCCCCCTCGCGCCGCCCCTTCCCCACCCCACAGCAGCCTCCTCCGCCTGTTGTTCACCGGAATCCCCGAGAAGTCCCCCCCGCCAGCGATTTGCGCGTAAATCGCGAGGCAGTTGCTCACGAGCTCCGACAGGTCCCTCAGCCGCGCCGACATCTTGCCCTTCACTTCCCCGCCGTCGCCGCCCAGCTCCTCGAACCCCTCCTCACACGTGTCGTGGTTCGTCAACGACGCGCTCAGCCACGTCATCACGTCCTGATCCCTTCCCCCCGCCACGTGGGCGAGCGACCGCGACAAAAGATCCACCGAGTCGTCCAGCAGCTCTATGCACGCCTCGTACGCCGACCTGACATTTTTTTTCTTTTATTTTTATTATTTCAAATAACAACCAAATGTTTGTACTCAAATATACAAATTAAAATCCCGGCCGGTAACCTGACGCGAGGGTCCATCTCCAGGTGGCTGATCTCGGATGCGGCGTAAAGCGCGCCGCCGAATTTCTGAAGCGTCAGGTTGACCGAAATGTGGACGATTTCCAACGGGGAGGAGGCGGCGGCGGCTCCGGGAAATTCAGCGAGGGAGCTCAGGCAGAGGCTCGGGTACGATGTGAGGCCGCAGGCTCGGGAGACTGCCTCGGATGGGCGGAGGCCGTGGAGGCGCGGCGCTCCGGAGGAACCGTCGCGGCTGCGAATGGACACTGCAACGGCGGCGGCGCAGGCGGCGGCGGCGATCAGAAGGGCGGCGAGGATGAGGAGTGACTTGATTTTGGTCCGGTTGGGAGGGGTGGGAGCTTCGCTGCGGAATGAGGAGCCGAGGCTGCCAGGCTCGGGATATCCGAGCCTACCGTACTCCATTTTTTATTTTATTTTTTTGGATTAGGAAAAAGGGATGTGTGGGGAACCGTTGGATTAGTGTGTGTGTGTGTGTGTGTGGTGATAGTGAGTGAGTAAGTGGGAAATTGAAAGGTGGGTGTGTGTGTATATATATACTACGGACAGTGCATGTGTTTGACGATGAGTGAGGTTGATGTCTGCAAAATTATTATTAGCTGGAGACGACTAAATCACGGATATATTTTTGCAAATTTGCAGTTGTAATAATTTTTTGTCTTTGTGTCTGTACATTTTGATTTAATTTGTTGGTTAATTTAAAGTTAATTTTGAAAGATGATTGAGTTAGATTGGAGTGTGATTTTCAATTTGTATTAAAGATCGATATTTAAAATCTAATGTTTAAATTTGATATAAGGTAACAGTACGGATGGATGAGATTGAAAGTGATGAATTGTTAAAACTATCTAAATGAATACTGAATTAAAATTGACGTGATGTGTGAGATGATTAATTTATATTATTTAATTATATAGATAATATTATAGAGAATTTGATTAATTAAAACCAAAAATTTTACAAAAAAAAATCAACCATATATGTTTTGATTTTCAAATTGGATTTGATAAAAATATAATTAATTGCAAAATGTCTTCAAATTATAGTTCTCTTACTTCAGCTAGTGTATTCAATTTTATTTAATTTTTTGTTATATGATAGATGAATATTTATTAATAGAAATAAATGCACCATATATATATCATAAAAAACAAACCTTCGTCTGGAATCAAGAGAATTAAACAACATAAACACACCTATTGATTGAAACAATATAAAAGCGCTCTGCAGTAGAGACGACAATAAAGCCACAAAGCCACCACACAGATCTAGCGAGCGAGGGATCAAAATTCAAGACAAATCTGCTAATAAATTCAATTAATGAGTAATGCTGAGTAGGCATTATCTCTTAATTAATTAAATTAGTAAAAAATACTAATTAATTTTCAGTTTTTTTTTTTTTTTTTTTT